ACCTCTGCCCGTCGGTCGGGTTTGATATCCACTGGAGGAGGAGGAGGAGGAAAAAACACCCATGTGTGTGTGTGCGTGATTGCGACAACCACAGTGATAGTCTTGATTCCTCACACACACCAGCTGGCGCCTTGTTACTACGAGGTTGTTGTATCTCGCTTCCCTCGCTTGCGTGTGTGCGTCCGTGTATTTGCGTGTATGTGTGCGTTATCACCTTTTAATCGGATGTGCCCAGATCTTGAGACCACAGTCCCTTTAATGTGCCGACTAGGCACGTGCACGCACGCACGCACACACCGCCTTTGCATCTTACCTGCCGCCGTTCCGCAATGGACAGAACAGATGGCACAGCTACGTGTTTTGTCTTTCGAAAGACTCGGCATACTCAGGCAAATTTCTCCCCCCCCCCTTCCGCTAGCTGGTATTCATGAGATCTCCAGGGTAGAGCCAAGGGCTTGCTGTTGTTGTTTCCGAGTCATCGTTGCCCATAAACCCTCGCGGTGTGAATGCGCGTCGACTCCCATCCTCAGTTGCACTTTATTGCTCTAGGGCGCCTGTTTTGGGGGACCTTGTTTGCTCAGTCAGTCAGTCTGAACTCTGTAGGGGGTGTTTCGCAAAAAGGTAAATCATGATGTGCATTTGTTTCAGACGAGGTGATGTGAAGAAAATACTTCTGAATTAGTTATCTCCTGGTTACCAGTAACGCTGCATTTTAAGGTGATAGAAACCTCTGAGCCTCGGGGTCTAAAGATAAGTTTGATATTGTACTATGTGCTCAGAGAAGTTTGCTGGTTCCTTGGATAGAAGGCGGCTGCACTCCACCCTGGCCGCAGTTTGTGACCAGGTGTCTTCGTGTGTATGCAGGAACTAACTAGTTTGCTTCATTGCATTACACACATAACCCCTCTCTGGCTACTTTGAGTCACACCGTACGCCTCTTTCTCCCTTCATCAGGTGTGGCCATGGGCATCACTGGTAGCGATGTGAGCAAACAGGCCGCGGACATGATCCTTCTGGACGACAACTTTGCCTCAATTGTTACCGGTGTTGAAGAAGGTCGTATCATCTTTGATAATCTGAAGAAGTCTATTGCCTACACTCTGACGTCCAACATTCCTGAGATCACGCCTTTCCTGGTGTTCATCCTCGCTGATGTACCCCTGCCTCTCGGTACCAT